TTATTTCCAAGGATATATTCATTCAGGCGCAGTTTAGGTAAAATATACGTGTGATGTAACAGTTTTTTAACTGAAAACGATTCGAAAAACACGTACCCTCTAGCCCTGTTCAAGGAGAGGACTGGGAGAAGTTGTTTGGTGCTGCAGACGATGACAAGGAAAATGATTTGGATGGATTTTAATGAAAATATTCAGAAATATGGTATCGTAGTATTTATTCAAGTCAATTAGGATAGAATATTATTGTAATACAACAGTTTTTTAACTGAAAACCAATCGAAAAGCGATTACGGTAACATCTTTTGAACGAAAGAAAGCGAAAGTCATTGTTTTCGTCACGATTTTATCCCACTTTCCACTGTAAAACGTACGTCATTTCAGCAAAAATATTACATTTTCGTGAATGCATTATATCAAGCACAGTATGAATAGAATACCATTGTAATATAACAGTATTTTAACCAAAAACTATTAAAAAAACGAGTAACTTCTCTTGAACATCGGAAGGTTAGGTAAAATCTTTTGTTTTCGTCATGTATTTTATCCTATTTTACATTAAAATACATCACGTTTCAGCAAAACTACTATTTATTTCCGAGAATATATTCATTCAGGCGCAGTTTAGGTAAAATATGCGTGTGATGTAACAGTTTTTTAACTGAAAACGATTCAAAAAACACGTGTACCGTGTAGCTGATACTCAACAGCTGGTGGTGCGTCATGTGTCGTTGTAAACAATAGGAGGTTGAAGTAGATTCCCGGGTATTATATTAAGTGTGAAATATCAAAAAGGTTTTTATTACCGGTATTTTTTTGTAGCTCAATGAGAACTGTGATACCATATATGATATGATAAGTTAGCCTGTGCTAAGAACTTCAACATAGACTACTGAAAACACGTTGTAAGGTAATTTAGCCTATTGTAAGTTGGTGAGCTTCATTTGCTGAAGGAACTGCACAACTTTTCATTACTAATTGGTACAAATTTTACGTTTCCATTGTTTACTGGCAGTAAATGGTAAATATTTTTCATGTCTGAAGCTAAAAGTTGCATCCCCCCCACACTAGTGGTGGAGATGTTACATTTGACCAAAAAGACGTTGGTGTTTTATCCCAGCAGTGGGTGGACCAGTATTTTAGTTAAAGGTCCGGGTAGGTAATATTCATACAAATCTTAAAAAAAAAGTTCGTTTAGATTTTGTCCGAATTATCCAAAATCAAGATTAAAGGGGTCCGAATTAACGAGGGTCGACTGTATAAATCTGAACAGGGATAAATTACTCCAAAAGGCAGCTTTCCTTCTAGCAATAGCAACAGGTATGAGAATCAGTGAACTGATTTCAATTTCCAATAATCCATCATTATTGGTATTTTCTGATGAGGATCTTGCCCTTTTTCCTACGGAGATCCTAAGAAAAAATGAAAGGGAAGATTTCCAAGCTCAACCTATTAGGATAAAACGTCTAATGGATGAAACAAGGGTTCCTCATGTATTGTGCCCAGCTAAAAATCTTCAGGAATGGTTAACCAGATTCCTTAATCGACGTCCCTATGTTTTCTCATCAAGGGATGGTAAAAAATTATCTGCTAGTCAAATGACAAAATCCTTACCTCAATTAGTGAATCAAGCAGACCCTGGCAAGAAATTTTTGGCACATGACACTAGGAAATATGCAGGGTCTGTGGCCTTTCTGCTGCATATAAGTCTCAGTCAGATCAAGGAAATGGGCTTTTGGAGATCTTCAAAAACTTTCAAAGACAGCTATCTTCATCTATTTCTGAAAGATGCTTCACATGTGGTGGTGCTGGGGTCCCCTCCCCCACCTAGTCAATCTCCACAACCAGGACCTTCTTCCTCATCAGAATAAAGTGAGTATCCTCATTGAGATATGTAAATTAACATTTTACCTTCCGATAAATGTTCCTAATTTTGGAAATATTCTAAACGGTTTATAACATAATCTGGACCTAAGTCAGCATAGCCTTTTATGCAAAGTCACCTCCCTCTCCACCTCCTGCTCGGGTATTCATGCTGAAGCGTTGCATTCCGACTTGAACAAAAAGCCGTTTTTATCTAAAACAGTCTTTGTGATATAGCTCGGAATGCGACGCAGATAACCCACCCATCTCCACCCCTCGAGAGTTGACTTTTGTTTACTGCTCGCTCTGAGGCAACAGATGAAGGTCGTGATGCTATGGTGGGGGGTGAAGGAGGGGGTTTTGAGAACTGCAATTAAATGCTAGGTAGCGACGTGTCCTCCTAATATTACTTATTAAGTAATTATTAGATGTTTTAATTGCCTGTATGTTGGCCTGGCGAGTTGGCCAGGAATTAACATACCTAGGTAACATGCTGAAGCGTCACATTCTGAGCTATATCACAAAAACTGATTATTAGATAAAAATATATTTTTTTTATTTCTAAGTCATAATAACAAACATTGAGGTATTTCAACAACTTTTATGGTAAATAAACATTGTGACTGTACTGTGCTGTCCTGTGGTGTGCTGTGCTGTACTGTGCTGTGCTGTACTGTGCTGTGCTGTGCTATACTGTGCTGTGCTATACTGTGCTGTGGTGTACTGTGCTGTACTGTACTGTGCAATAGAAAAAAGGACAAAAATGATATGTCTGAAATTTTGATGTTTTCAAGTAATATGTTTCCAAAACAACTGTGATTCTGTAAAGCATCACTTATTTTGACAGTACTCTGTGTCATAAACAGTAAGACGTGTCTCTTGCATACTGAAACAGGTGGGTACTTCAGCCAACCTTTCCTGTTTAGCTAAAATTTGGTGATGGAGTTGCTGGCACTATTAGTATGATGGAAAGCTTGTTAAAACTTCTTACTTTCTAAACACACAACTGTACAAGGGAGCAGTAGTTTGAGAACCAAACTAATGTATAACCTAAAACACTACTATACAGTTGGTTAAAACATTACCTGTGTTATTTCATCCCAAAGATTTCTGTTATCAAGAGTTGGATCCATAAAGCGACTGATGCAGTCTTTATATGCTTGAAGGAGGGCTTTTGATCCATTAGTTGGAAATCGTTCTGAAAAATATGAGTGTACAACATTTTATTAAAACAATTGTTATTAAGAAAAGAAGAAAGCATTGACAATCATTATCAACATTTTTCACACTTGCATGAGTTAGCTGTGGTTACATGATGGCTGCTCTCCATGCTGCACAGTCTCTTGTCAGGTTCTTAACACTTAATAGCATTTCTTACAACCGTTCTCCAAGACATTCTTGACCTACACCTGGCTCTCCTTCCCTAACAGTTAGGCTCATGCACCTCTTGACCCAGTTGGTCTCACCCATCCTCTCCACATGCCTAAACCATTTCAGCTACCACTATGCAAGACTCTCAATACCCAGCTGCCCTCTTAGCTTTGTCAAATAAACATGCTTATGTCATCCTCTTTAACTGCCCATTTTTCACTACCATACAACATCACACTTCTCACACCAGCTGAATATATTTTTCTTTTCAAGTAGAAGGAAGGTCCTTTTGTCATCAATAAAGGCAACAACTCCATAAACTTCCTGCAGCCACTTCTAGCTCTAGTTATTAAGCAGGCTTCAGCAACCCCACTGGCAATGATCAGGTCATCCAGTTAATACAAGTCATCACCACAGTCTAGAACTCTAGGGTTATACCAGTATTTTCCATGTTGAGTTTCTCAAGACTTGCTCTCAACATTTGGTCACCTATGTTTATAGGACAACATCAGCAACATCCTCCAGTCTGCCATCTACTCCACTACACCTCTTGTGTACCCACCTTCCACACTCACTACACCTCTTGTGTACCCACCTTCCACACTCACTACACCTCTTGTGTACCACACCTTCCACACTCACTACACCTCTTGTGTACCCACCTTCCACACTCACTACACCTCTTGCGTACCCACCTTCCACACTCACTACACCTCTTGCGTACCCACCTTCCACACTAACTACACCTCTTGTGTACCCACCTTCCACACTCACTACACCTCTTGTGTACCCACCTTCCACACTCACTACACCTCTTGTGTACCCACCTTCCACACTCACTACACCTCTTGTGTACCCACCTTCCACACTCACTACACCTCTTGTGTACCCACCTTCCACACTCACTACACCTCTTGTGTACCCACCTTCCACACTCACTACACCTCTTATACTTCTAGCAATCTTCGTAAGGCTATTCTTCTTAGGACCAAGGGGAATTTTATAAAAAGAAAGACCGCTGTCGTGACTAACTCTTCCTCCAGTAAATTCTTCTGGTCCTTAACCAAAAGTATCTGTAATAACTTCTGCACTCCTTATTTTCCTCCTCTCTTACGATCTGATAATTCTATAGCCAACTCTCTCCCTGATAAAGCCAATCTCTTTGGCACTTTATTCTCCTCTAACTCCACCTTAGACGATTCCCACTCTATCCCCCCTACTCCTGCACCTCCTACTGAACCTATGCACTTTCCTATAATCTCCACTCACAGGGTTACTGGTGTGTTACCCAGGTTGGGTGTGAGTAAGGCGCATGGACCGAACGGAATACCCCCTCGTGTTCTGAGGGAGTGTACTGAAGCTCTGGCCCCTGTGCTTGCTCGCCTCTTTCGCCTTTGCCTCAAAACCCAAACTTTTCCTTCTTCTTGGAATCATGCCTTGGTTCAGCCCATCCCAAAGAAGGGTGACCATTCTAATCCCTTTAACTATTGCCCAATTGCCCTAACTTCATCCCCCCTCTAAGATTTTTTAACTATCTTGAACTCCCATTTCTCCATCACCTTGAACGCCATTCTCTTTTGTCGGATCACCAGTATGGCTTTCGGCAGATGAGATCTACTGGTGATCTGCTCTCTTACTGCACCCATCTTTGGTCATCCTCTCTTAGGGATTATGGGAAAACTTTCGTCGTGGCCCTCGACATCTCCAAAGCATTTGTTAGGGTATGGCACAAGTCTTTGCTTTCTAAACTTCCCTCTTATGGTTTCTCTCCCCACTTTGTTTTCTACTCTTTAGCTTCCTTGATAACCGACCCATGGCAGTTGTTGTCGAAGGATCGATCTCTAGCTCTTTCTCTACCAGTAGTTGTGTCCCACAGGGTTCTGTTATTTCACCGACTCTCTTCCTTCTTTTTATCAATGATTTACTTCACACTAAAATTAATTCAATCCATTCTTACGCTGATGATTCTACTCTTCAATCTTCTTCACATTTTTCCCCTTCCCCATAATTCTCAAAGTAGATCTGTTGCTAGAGCTGATATAATTTCATCTATCAATGCAGATCTGTGCAGCATCTCTGAATGGGGAGGTAGAAACTTGGTTAAATTCAATAGTAATAAAACTCAGTATTTACCAATTACACTTTCCAAATGAGATGATCTCCCACCTATCACATTTCAGGATGCTAACATTCTGCCAAATTCTAAAACAGATATGCCAGGCCTCACCATTTCCTCTAATATGTCATGGAAGCCACACATCCTCAACATTGCTAAAGCTGCCTCCCGAAAGCTGGGAATGCTGTACAAATGCTGTAGCTACTTCACTCCTGAGCAGTTGCTTCAAGTTTAAAAGGATTCATTCGTCCTAACTTGGAGTACTGCTCTCATATCTGGGGAGGCTCTTCTTCTGACCAACTGTTAGATAGGGTGGAATCAAAGAAATTTTGTCTTATTGACTCTCCTCCTCAAGTTGTCAATCTTTCTTCCCTTTCTCTTTGCCGCAATGTTGCTTCACTCTCTCTTTTACAGGTACTTTAACAGGCAATGTTCGGTGGATTTGGCATCCTGTGTACAGCCGGCAAGGCCGTGGGCTCGTAACACTCGTCTTGCCCACCGTTTCTCTGTGGATGTCGGTCACATTAGAATAACCCGTTATAGTACATCCTTCTTTCCTCACTGTGGAATGCTCTGCCTCCTTCTGTGTTTCCATACTCATACAGTCTGTCTCACTTCAAAAAGCTGGTTTTCCGGCATCTTCGTGGTGTAGATTAACATGGTCTTTTCCTTTTGCATTTTTTAATTTCTTTTTACTCTTAATTTTTCACCCCCACGGCCCCATTGTGGGTCGATGACCTGTGGCTGGGTGGGCTATTCCCCGTATTAAAAAAAAAATAATAATTAAAATAAATAAGTTTGATGCCATAACGATCCTCTACGAGACATTTCCAATATGATATCCTTAAATGACAAGCTGAATTAAAGGATAAAATTAAGTATTACACTGTATGTGAAGGGTACTGGTAGAACTTTGTAACATTTGATACCATAATATCCTGACCAGTTTTCCCTGTGATAAAGCCAAAATTTTGAGCAGCATATTACTGTACAGGTAGTCATTTTGTACTAAATGTACTATGCTAAAGGATTAAAAAAAATTTCTCGTACAAATTATGAGATGTGGATACTCAAATTAATCGCTATCGTGCAAGGACTTCAGCAATGCAAGTTATATTCTCTTAAGTCAAGTCTGTGATATTTTATAAGAGAAAACTTTAAGCCTAAATCAAATTCTTCCCATTAATCATTATCAATGGCATCTGCTCTCCTACTGCTGCTGGCTTGGAGGAAGGAGGGAGGGAGGTAGAGGTGTCGACAGCCAGGAGGGGAGATTAACGCATACTCAAGGATTATGAAAGACCGAGTGGTTTAATTTTTTCGCTTATGAAATGGCACTAACTTGACTTAGGAGAATATAACTTGCATTGCTGGAATTCTTGTAAGGTAGCAATCAATTTGAGTGAATTCAAACATCCCTTAGTTTGCACCAGGCATAATAATTTTAGTAATTAGCCTAGTACATTTGAGTACAGGTTGTGATAATTTATGTGGTTGCAGTTTCAAAGCTTTGTGACATCACTAATGTATAACGAGTCTCCATATGCCCTGGTTTATATATATATATATATATATATATATATATATATATATATATATATATATATATATATATATATATATATATATATATATATATATATATATATATATTACGACAACAAACATCCAGTGAGGGTCTTGTTGTGTGACTGCATGGAGGTGAATTAAAAGATCAGCTGTTGAGGAGCTTATTGCTTGGCAACACTGGTGCATGTTACCACTCCTTACCACTCCATCACCCACACCTTTCTCACTCCATATTTTAAAATGTTATGTAATGTAATGAGGAAGGGATACAACTTTGCTCATTTGTACATATAATTATAACAATCTCCCTAAAATACATTTTCGGTTTCGTGTTTATTCAAGATATCTTCAGCTCATGAAACCCACTAATCCCCCACCTAAGAAAGGGTGACCTGACATTCCATCAGAAGGTCAGTAATATGAGACTACTCATTCCCCACCCTGCCTCCACGTAACACTGAGTAAGGTCAGGTCAGGTCCCCCAAAAAAAAATACTTTAACTTTCATCTTTATTCAAGATGTTTTCGAAAATTCTCTCGATTTTCAACCTCAGAAAATTTGTTCCTTAAGCCGGAAATTTTTGGAAAATTATGGCTTTGGGAAAGATTTTCAATTCCAACTATCGGAGAGTTCCAGGTTTGAGGGATTCCGGCTAACGGAGATATTACTGTATAGTATTGTGAATGAGGTTCTGCTCTTTATGTAGCAACATAAATAAAGAATCTCGGGGTACGGTAGACAAGCGCAGGTTAATGGAACTTAGTGGTAATGTTTGTCTGGTGTGAGCATGTGCCTGTGCCAGGTGGCTACTGAAATTTTGTTTTTAACCCCTCAAAAATAGTACGTATGATATACTACAGTAAAGCCTCGAGTAAGTATGGTAATGTGTCTCCAATATTGAGGTTTAAGTTAAATTGTAAGGTGAATCATTAATTACCATTAAAATAAAGCAATAATAATAATGTGCTCCCTAGTGTGACCTTTTCATATATGTTGAGTGACTTTTTCCCCAAAAGATTATAATTAATGGAAATTAAAAACTGTACAGTACAGTAGAATGTCAATTTAAAGCAACACCCACAATTAAGGACAATGTTTCAATTTAAAGCGAATCTTTCCTATTTTGTTCAAGTCAACCTGGTGCATCATATTTCAAAGTTCGTGCCTAATGTTTCTCTGGGCACGCTACACTGTCCTAAGAGCAAAGCTGTACTGTACATGTACTCAAAGTAATCGACTAAATGATCACAGTGGTCGCTCAGTTAACGAGCACAATTCGTTCCAGAAGGTTGCTCGTTAACCGAAAAACTCGTTAACCAAAACCATTGTTTCAATGGGTTTTTGGGTAATTGGTTCCAGCTCACCGAAAATTGCCTAAAATCACTAATTCAACAAAAAAGGTAGTAAAGTACACTTACTTTGAGGTGTGTATGTAAAAGGCTCCTGGATGATGATGATGGGAATTAGAATGGGGGTGGAGGAGAAGGGAGAAGAGAAGTCACCCCATGGTGCCATTTCACCCATAAAATTTTAGTTCTCTTGGTGTAATTCAACATTAATTTCTTTAAATCAACACTGCACAGCATTATATATTGTCAATATGTAAAATAAATTTCAAAATGACCAATAATTTGCTTGCAAAAACAGAAAAAAAGCATTTAGTTGAAGAGTCTCAAGCAAGATGTTACCTCCACTGAAAAGACACAAAGACTGACGCCTGTATGGTGTGTTGAGAGGCTGGATGGCACGCATAAAACTAGTTTCATTACCTTCAATTATGTTCAATAATTGTTAAAATGACTAAAAAATTTAATATTAAACTTTTAAAACTATTGAATAGTATAAACTTCTTGATATTTGCTAAAATGGTAAGGAATTTAAGCCCTAGAAGCGATTATTGTATTGGCGGACTAATATTACAGCTGGTGGACCGCCAAATGCAAGCTAAAAACATGTTCAGGTCGGCTCGTAAGAAACTCGTTAATCGAGGGATTGCTCGTTAACTGAAGTTAAGAATCTTATGGAAGGTAACTTGTTAACTGAAATCTCGTTAACCGAGGGACCACTGTATCAAGTTTTGATATGAATTAAACAATCGTGCTATTCCAAAAATGCTTATATCAGCGCCCATAAAACGCGAGTGACTGTACTATGTCTATACATCACAGGCAAAAAATGTCATTCAAGACATATTCAGGTAATAAGACCCACTAATCCCCCACCCAACAATGGGTGACCAGACACTGCATCAAGTCAGGTTAGTAACGTGACCCAATAATCTCCCACCCAACCTTCATCACAAGTGTAAAGACATGATCAGTTATGTATTACAGTGAAGTGTGTAACAGAGACCTGACGATAGCCCAAGCAGCTAACGAGCCGATCAGTGATGAAGATAAAAGAAACAGTTTTGTTCACGCCCGTATCATATAGAGCTTTAGTTGTTTTAAATATATTTATTTTATCAAACTTTTAGATAAAGTATTCATGATTATTTTGATAAAAAAATGGAGTCTCTAACGAAACTGATTTTATTGACTCCGGTATCAACAATTCTTACGTTTTTTTTTTTTTTTATAAAAGAATGGAATTCCCATCACTATATTATATAGAAATATTTTGTTTAAGGATATCTTATTGGAAACGTTTGGTAGAGAATTTATGAAGGATCATTATGGTATCAAATTCATCTCCCTAGCACAATTAGCCACGCGACCCTACCCCCCAAAAAGGTTCACTTCCGTCAACACCACCCACACATACACCCCTACATTACACACCCTCCAACAACCACCCATATTAGACCATGTACAAATAAGCTGCTACAACTAGTACTTCCCCATCAGGTATAAATTGCCCTACTCCCCACCCTACCTCAACTCAGGAGACAGGTCATGTAACCTCATTCCTTTGTTTTATGTTTTTCTCCCTTGTTTTGTTCTTAGTTGACCTAAGAGGGTACTAGTATACCAGCTCCAAGAATTTGTCTTTGATTTCTCCAAAGTGGGTGTTTACTTCATTTACCACTGTGACTATTACACTTTTGGAATATCATCTACACATTATCAGCTCACCTCACAATGTAAGTGCTACATTTATTTATTACTGTATTATTTACTTCATTGTTACTGTATTTCCATAAAAAAGATATTTATATTTGCATAGTTATTATAAATAGAATATTTTATGCGGCAGCCAAGGCGACTTTTCGGAACTGTTCAGTTGTTTGGGATTTTTACCAAATTCAAATAATTTAATTTATCTTTGAAAAACAAGAATTAAGCCAAATCGAATTACAGTACTAAATAACAATCCAAATTAACGAGGGTACAGAACCTGTTTACTTCTGTCAATGAACCACAGGAGATGTGCCTTGGTCATACAGTATATAAATAATAATTAAAGTTGAAATTTCCCTCTGGCAACATCAACTGGTTACAATAACAGGTACTCTTAGGCCGAGTAACACTCCGGTACAGAATAATATCTTACCCATCTTGACTGATCGACCTTTTCTCTTCTCGTAGTTGTGGCGGCGCTGAGGGACGTACTTCACCAGCTCCTCCATATCTTTTTTGTAAGCTATGGAGCGCGGCTCAACATTTGGTATGAAGTTGTAGTCGACTGTTGTTTTGTACAGTGTTACCATGTTCCTCCACCTTCCTTCAACCATATTTATTGTGAACCTGTAACAACACATGAGGCAGACATATATGAGACACACATAATAACACTGAGACAGACACATAATAACACTATGGGACAGACATAGTAACACTATGAGACAGACATAATAACACTATGAGACAGACATAATAACACTATGAGACAGACACATAATAACACTATGAGACACACACACATAATAACACTATGAGACAGACACATAATAACACTATGAGACAGACATAATAACACTATGAGACAGACATAATAACACTATGAGACAGACATAATAACACTATGAGACAGACATAATAACACTATGAGAAAGATATAACACTATGAGGCAGACATAATAACACTATGAGACAGACATAATAACACTATGAGACAGACATAATAACACTATGAGACAGACATAATAACACTATGAGACAGACATAATAACACTATAACACTATGAGACAGACATAATAACACTATGAGACAGACATAATAACACTATGAGACAGAGACAGACATAATAACACTATGAGACAGACATAATAACACTATGAGACAGACATAATAACACTATGAGAAAGATATAACACTATGAGGCAGACATAATAACACTATGAGACAGACATAGTAACACTATGAGACAGACATAATAACACTATGAGACAGACATAATAACACTATGAGACAGACATAATAACACTATGAGACAGACATAATAACGCTAAGAGGCAGATATAATAATGCTATGAGACAGACATAATAACACTATGAGACAGACATAATAACACTATGAGACAGACATAATAACACTATGAGACAGACATAATAACACTATGAGACAGACATAATAACACTATGAGACAGACATAATAACACTATGAGACAGACATAATAACACTATGAGACAGACATAATAACACTATGAGACAGACATAATAACACTATGAGACAGACATAATAACACTATGAGACAGACATAATAACACTATGAGACAGACATAATAACACTATGAGACAGACATAATAATTACATTAGACTAAACAGCACTGTACTGTACTGTACCTGTGTCCCTCACTGTTCAGACTCTCTGTTATTTTCTCCCAGCCGCTGTATCCAATTCTAACAATCTTTTTATTCTGGTTTTCCCTTTTAACACGATGCATCTGCTTAAGAAGACAATGGGTAGCATCCTTGTCCCAATCACCTGAAAGAAGACAATTTAAATATCTGTAAATATCACTTGGTAAGAGTTTAAATTTAGCCCCACAAACATGCAATTCTTAATAAAGTTTGACAGCTTCAATAATTTTGTCTCTCTCCTCTGACATATGAGGAATTGGCCTTGAAAGTTCTGACCTGGGCAAATGTGTACTGTACAGTCAACTAGTTTACAGTTCCACAACCAAAGTTCTCAGAAGCAAAGACAGTGACTAGACTCCACATATTAATCTAAACAACAGTCAACTTTTCTCAACACAACCATCAGCTGCCTCTCTGACTGAAGGCTGAGATCACTTCCTGCTCACTTCATCACCAGCCCGGAGTTTCATAAATTCTTGGGACAAAATACGAGATTCAAAGATCAATCCCTCGGCTATACCACCCATGGCAGGCAACACGTGTACACTGAATCATGTCATTTACGGTACTCAAGAAAACAGGACGGAAATAATTAAAATTCAAGATATAATATGGCTTGCACCCTAAATCCTGTGGTCAATAAAATAGTCTGGCATTAGCCAAATGAAATATTAAAAGTGGCATCCAGTAGTCAAGGGGTCAAAGTGAATCAGGTTAATATAAGGTAAAGTACAGGTAGACCTTGATTTTTGGGAGGCTTGTGTTCTGAGAATTGTCTACTAGTGAAAAATCCATAAATCAAGGCAGATTCTCCTACTGGCCACCAGCATAAACTGGGAGATGTGTACAGATATATTCCAACAAAAATACATTTCTCAAACAAGAATTAACATGACACTAAAGACGTTTTTCAGGGAAATAACAATTCAAAACAATAACAATAATTGTTCAGTTCATCAACAATATTGTCTGATAAAGGGACAATCTTCTCTTGTGTTGGACCAATAAAGCTCATGTCACAATTACTAACAGTCATCATCGTCATCATCATTTTACGGCCATATTTCACGCTTGCATTGGTTAGCCATGATTACCCGATGAGAGCTCTCCAGGCTGCACGGTCTCTTGTCTCCTCTCTCATCAGGTTCTTAAGTCAAATGTCATTTCTTACAACCACTTCCCACATCACTGTTGACCTACCCCTAGCTTTCCTCCCCTCCACATTCAGATTCCTGCACCTCTTGACTCAACTGGTCTCTGCATGCCCTAACCATCTCTGCTAACCTCTACACAGTACAGTACAGTACAGTACAATCTTCTTGTAAATACAGTATGCTTGAAGCTTATGTGTTGTGTACTGTCCTAGAAAAAGTGTTGTATGTGAATTCTTGCCCTCCCAGACCTGGGCCTGGAGTGTGTAAGGTCAAGTAAAGTCAGATAACACAGGAACCTCAGCAGTAGGCCAGTGGTGATGAGGTTCAGTAGAGTAATTGAGGCACAGCCTTCAAGAGGAATTAAATTACCAAGAGAAAAAAAAAAGAGGGAAAATGGGGTGTAGACACACTACCCAACATGTCCTAGGATTTCTAACGTGACTAGGTGCACCCAAGAGGATGTGGTGATTGGTTGAGTGCAGTCATGAATCTGTTGTGTGATTGGCACTTGGCCTGGGGGGCATTAGTCCCATCAGGTTCACAACTAAATGCCGAGTTATTAGGTAAATAGCAGAGTTGTAAAGTAACTAAGTAAATGTACTTGAGAACTGTACTCAAGTAACATTTTAGGATAATTAATTTTTAAAAGTAATCAAATTTTTCCGTACTTTTACCTAAGTATAGTTTTCTACTGTATACTGTACCTTTATTCCAATACAATTGAAAAACAAAAATCGTTACTCGTTACATGACCCAAATAATAGTTTTAAATATCCAACTGCAGGACACAGGATAAACTTGGAAGCTAACCAATCACACGCATTTCTTTACTTCTGGACCAATCACAAGCATTCTTTCATATCGTTTCATCAATGTACCCAAGTGACGAACACTGAGTTTAAGCACCCAAGCCGCCCTTCTCCCATTTCCTTGTTCGGTGCTACGGCGGCAACAATCATCCACAAACTCCTCAATTGAAGGAGCTTAATAGCTACTTGGTATGCCCAAGGAGTGGAAAGGAGCTACTGTACTGAGGTTCTTTCCTAACATTATGTGACTTATCTCTCAAGCTTAACACCCCACTACCTGTATCTGCTGCTTGTGAGTGTCTGTTTAGTCTTGCTGGGCTTATATTTAGGCCTAAGGGATCCCGATTGGACAACCATAATTTGAGAATCAGTTACTGATTAATCACTATCTTTAGTTAACTAGTTTTTCGTAATATCTGAAATGGTTAAAAATTTTGTTGTTTCTTTTTACTTTGAGTACTTGAGTACTTTATGAACGAGATACAGGAAAGCCTCCGACAACAACGGTTCTACTTACACAATTCATATTTAAGACCCTGGTTAACTTAGGACCCAATTCAATTTACACCATTATTTTCTTTGTATTTCCGACGAAAATAGAAAAAATAAAATAAAATTACATTTTCATATAAATAATAACTAAATCCTGATATGTATCATACAAATAAACTGTATAAAAAAAATGTTTTGAGCACAGAGGCTACTGCACTTGTGAGTATAAACAGTCACAGCTTGGCGGGCCTTTTGTTTTCACGCATCTGAACAGGAACAGGAGAAAACTTTCTCAGTTTTCGTATGGCATTTTTTGTGTCCCTATTGAACATGAGCAAGAGAGCAAGTGATGGTAGTGCTGGTTCAAAACCTAAAAGAAGGTGTACTATAAGCTTTGCCGAGAAACTTGACGTGTTAAAACGATATGAAAAAGGTGAAAGGTCTGTGGATATTTCATGTGCTTTGAGGATGGTGGAACCAACAGTGAAAAATATCTGTTAGAATGAAGACAAAATTTAAGAAAGTGCTCAGTTGATGAAGAGAATGTTGAGGAGCTATTAAGCAGTGACGGAAAAGACCTAACTAATGAAGAACTACTGCAACTTGAACAAGAGCACGAAACACACCAACAGACCAGACCTCACCTCACCTCACCTTCTCCCAAATTTATGACAACATTGGCTGTGTCTAAGTTTTTTACTTTACCACCATTGGTGAGTAGAATTTATTTTTTATAAGCATGAACAGTAATAAATGATGCTGTGTCTCCATGAGTGAGTACATGTTGGCATCCTACTATCAGTCTTTCACTTTTTTGTCTTTACCATCAGTGGTAACATTAATTAAAACAAACACAGTTTTTTACATTAACTTTACTACAATACTACAGCAACAACCAGGGTGTACCATCTCCTCTTGCGTGACCATATTATTATCGATTTATATTGTATAAGGTGTATTAATAACCATTACAGTGGTCCCTCGGTTAACGAACGCCTTGGTTAATGAATTACCTTTCATAAGAATCTTCAATTCGGTTAACGAAAAAAAATTTGATTAACGAAATCCTTATGAAAATCACATTTTGTTTTGAACATCAGCTAAGCTGAGGAAGTACTCAGCCAATTCAGTGATCTCTTCTATGTTTACATTCAAACTAATCACAATCTTATAAGAATTCCAGCAATGCAAATTAAATTCACCCCGGTCACTTCTATTAAATTTTATAAACAAAAAACAAAAACTTAATCTAAAAGAAAAAATAAACTAACAATTAAATACTTCACACCACAGGTGCCAACTGTCAAACATGTCACTGTCACCCCCCTCCCTACCCCCCAACCCCCCACCTTCCTGAGAAATGTTCGGGAAAAAAGACTAGGTTTACAGGTTTAAAAATAAATAATAACTCAGACTAAAGTTAGGATGATATAATTTGCATTGCTGAAATCCTTGCAAGACAGGGAATATTTTGAATATAAACTTCATATATTTTGCACAAAAGATAAAATTTTTGCTCTCCCTAATAAAATTTTTAAATTAGATCTAAAATTTGTATGTCTAATGCAAATTTTAGTTTGTTTATACAGTCATGCGCTGGTTAACATCCTAGATACGTTCTTGGAAACGTGGCGTTAACCGAAATGGACGTTGTCCGATCATCACATCAACTTTTTATTTATACTTACGTGTATGTGGATACTATATACGTGTATGTGGATACTATATACGTACATATACACTTTTACTCTTAAATCACTACTGTAATGTGATACCGGTGATTAATTTTTATCTCTTGTGCAAAATACATGACGTTTATATTAAAATTATTCACTGTTTTACAAGGATTCCAGCAACGCGGAGCAGATGGGGGAGAGAGAGGGTGGGAGCGAGCGAGGGGGCGTGGGGGGAGGGGAGGTAGTACGTTTGACAGTTGGCACAGGCCCAGGTTTAATGCGTATATATTTATCAGTTCTTCGGTGACTAAGCTTCTCTCCTATAAAAAGCCAGTGAAATGACCTGGGTGAATATAATTAACATAGCTGGGATTCTTATAACATACTGATTAATTTGAATATAAACATGCTATAATTTGCACTAGACAAAACAATTTTAGTACCGTAATCAAATTAGTACATGTGCGGTTTTGTGCACTCCAGCTTTGCACTAAGGTCATTTATTTATATTACGTTTCTTTTAGTATGGTGTGTGCATGTAAATGGATGACAATAAATGAAGAAATCTATGTAAATCTACCCAAAAATACAGTTGAAAAACTTTTTTATAAAATGTACTATACAGTACTGTACACTAAAGTACAACCATTTTTATCTCTTGAGCAAAATATATGACATTTATATTCAAATTATTGGCTGTCTTGCAAGGATTCCAGCAATGTAAATTATAATCTCCTAACTTTAGTGCGAGATATTATATAAGATAAAAATTGTAAACCTAAAAGCCTGGCTGGGGAGGGAAGGAGGGGGGAACTGATGGAACCAGCCACGCCACCCAGGGAGGGGTTGGGGGGGGTTGGGGGTGGGGGGTTGAGGTGATAAATTTGAGGCAAAGGTCTCTGTGTGTTTATTTAACAGTCCTACTAAGCTTCTCTCATTTTAAAATGCCAGTGATATGACCAAGGAGAATATAATTAACATAGCTGAAATTCT